TTTTTTTTTTTTTTTAATTTTCCCAGCATTAGGATTGAACCCAGAGCCTTCTGTCGCTCATGCTACCCAAGTGCCCTAGCACTGTGCTACATCCCCAGCCTTGTAATTCATGTAACTCTTGACCTTTTATCCTTTATTTTTCTTACCGCATAAACGTGTATAAAATGTTAAACTAGCTGTGGTGGCGCACATATGTAATCCCAGCATTTTGAGAAGCTAGGGCAGGAGGCTCACACGTTCAAATCTTACTTGAGCAATTTAGCAAGACCCTGTTTCAAAGAAAAGTGGGAGAAAGAGCCTGGGGATATAGCTCAGTTCAAAGGCCCTGGGTTTAATAGCCAGTTATCACCTGCTCCCCGGCCCAAAATTCTACTATTGAGTGGTTAAGAAGGAAGCCATGAACCAGGCTTCAGTACTAACAGGATGAGGGGGTGGGATAAACAGAAACAGTACCTCTTTAACTTGGGCAGAAAAGAAAACAAGACTCCATAAATAGACTTTTAGATTTAATAAGCAAATTCAGTAGCATACCTGGATACAAAGTCAACACTCAAAAATCAATAGCATGTCCAGGAACGGTGGCCCACACCTGTAATTCCAGCACTCAGGAAGCTGAGGCAGGAGGATTGCTGTGAGTTGGAGGCCAGCCTGGGGCTACACAGTAAGTTAAAGTCCAGGCTGAACTGCACAGGAGACCCTGTCTCAGAAATAAAATTAATTTTAAAAATATCAAGAGCCTTCCTGTACATACATAACAAACTCACTGAGAAAAATTAGGAAAATAGCACCTTTTACAATAGCATCCGAAAAAAAGAAATACCTAGGAATAGATCTAACAAAGGAAGTAAAAGACCTCTACACTGAAAACTACAGCACTCTGAAAAAGGAAATTAAAGAGGATATCAGAAAATGGAAAGAAAAAAAAAGAAAATGGAAAGATAGCCCTTGGTCTTGGATAGAAAGAACCAACAGAGGGAAAATGGCATGATTCCAAAATTATTATACAGATTTAATACAATCCCAATAAAAATTCCAGGAGTATATCTCACAGAATTAGAGAAAACAATTTAAAATTCATTTGGAACAAGAAGAAACCTAAAATATCAAAGGCAATTCTAGGCAACAAAGGCAAGGAAGTGGGCATCACAGTTCCTGACTTGAAATTATACTACAAAGCTACTGCAATAAAAACAGCATGGTACTGACCAAAAGAAAGAAAGAAAGAAGAGAAAAGAAAAGAAAAAGAGAAAAGAAAAGAAACAGACCTGAGGATCAGTGAACCAAATTAGACAATGCAGAAACAACTCCACCATACTCAGCCACCATATCTTTGACAAAAGTGCAAAATACCTTCAGCAGAAGAAAGTTAGCCTGTTTAATACATAGTGCTGAAAAAACTGGCTTTGCACATGCCAAAGATTAAAACTAGACTATCTTTCACCATGCACTAAACTAAAATTGAAATGCATTAAAGATCAAAATATTAAAACAAACACTAAACCTGCTGGAAGATAGACTATGTAGAAGTCTTAAAGACATTGGTGTAGGCAAAGACTTTATGAACAAAATCTCAACCACGAGGGAAATATTACAAAGAATCAACAACTGGGATCTCATCCTATTAAAAAGCTTTTACACAACAAGAGAGAAACCAACAGAGCAAAGAGACAACCCACAGTGTGGGGGGGAAAAAATTTGCCAGCTTGTCCTCAAAGGACTAATATCTAGAATACATAAAGAACTAAAAATAAAAAAAACAGCCTCCCCCCCCAAATTTAAAGACCCAATCCAAAAATGGGCATCTGAAAAGAATGGACACTTCTCAGATGAAGAAATAGAAATGGCAAATAAGGATATGAAAAAATGTTCAACATCATTGGTCATTCAAGAAATGCAAATTAAAACAATGCTGAGATTCCATCTCACTCCAGAAAGAGTGGCTATTATCAAGAAATCAACCAATAGGGGCTGGGGATTTAGCTCAGTGGCAAAGCGCCTGCCTGGCAAGCGCAAGGTCGTGAGTTCGGTTCCCGGTACCAGAGAAAAACCAAAAAAAAAAGAGGAAAAAAAAAAAATCAACCAATAACAAAATGCTGGCAGGGCTGTGGGGAAAAAGGGACACTTCTCCACTGTTTGTGGGAGGGTAGAGTGTTGTAATCACTGTTGAAATCAGTGTGGAGGTTCCTCCAAAAACTAGGACCAGAGATTCCATTCAAATCAGCCATTCCCCTTCATGGTATCTTTCCAAAAGAATTGAAAGCATCATACCACAGCAGTATATATACAACCACTTTTATAGTGGCACTATAAACACCCATGTTTATAGTTTCTAGTAGCTAAATCTTGGAAGCAACCCAAACGCCCATCAGCTGATGAATGGATAAAGAAGATGTGGGATTTTTTCATACAATGGAGTACTACTCTGCCATAAGAAGGATAAGCTCAAGACATTTTCAGATAAATAGATACACCTTGAAGTTAATTGGACTTGTGTGTGTAAATATCCATTGTTTCTCTGGTATGAGAAACCAAAAGTGAAAAAAAAAAAAAAAAAAAAAAAGGCAGGCGTGGTGGCACATGCCTGTAATCCCAGCACTGGGGAGGCTGAGGCAGGAGGACAACAGTTTTGTTCTTCAAACCTTGCATCTTCCTCAAACTCATTTCAAGGTTATTGTTTCCTTTATAACAATCTAGCACCAGGCTTTATTTTGTACACTTTTTATTTATAAACCCCATTTTGCACTCAGGAGGCTAAGTCAGAAGGATCATTGCGAATTTGAGGCCAGCCTGAGCTACAAAGTGAGCTTAAGACCAGGCTGAACTGCATAGCAAGACCCTGTCTCAAAAAAAAATTTTTTTTATTTTGTGCATGTGTACTAATCAACATTTAATAGTTTGATTGTTTGATTATCTGTGGGTTTGTTTTTTTTTTTTTTTGTACTGAATCAAACTCAGGACCTTGTTCTTGCCAGGCAGGTGCTTGTGCCACTAAGCTATATCCCTAGCCCTTGATTATCTGATACAGCATTCCATTATACCCATAGCATTCCATTATAGTGATCTCTCTTATGTCAAAAACTTTTAGGCAGTGGGTAAAATCATAGTGAGGAATTTACATTATAGTCTAGTAAATAGATTATTAGCTGGGCATGGTAGTGCATGCCTGTAATCCCAGCACTCGGGAGGCTGAGGCAGGAGGATCATTGCAAGTTCAAGACCAGCCTGAACTACATAGGGAGACCCTGTCTCAAAAAGACAAAAAAAAAAAAGAAAAGATTTTTGGTGTTCTAGCTTCTCTAATATAAAGTCTCCAAATACCTCACAAAGTGCTAATAAAGCCAGGTGTGGTGGCGCATGCCTGTAATCCCAGCACTTGGGAGGCTGAGACAGGAGGGTTGTTGTGAGTTGGAGGCCAGCCTGGGC